AAAAATGAGATATAAAAAAAGCATTAATTATCAATCTCATTGGTATTGATCAAGTATATATTGAAATTGATATACGCACAATTGAAATGTAAATCACATTGCACTAAAAACAATATATTCTTATTTTTAAAAACAAATTTGTTAATTTTAAATTTGAACTATTATGACATTGATTAATGTCTTATAATTAGAAAAATACTAAAATGCACATTATGAAAAGATAAATGATGATATAATCACATATAACTATAGCTTTATAATTGAATGTAGATAAACAAATCTTTTAAAATGTCTATATACTAAACACATTCCATTAATGCATTTTCGTTTGAATTAGACATTAGACGGTGAAATTGGAATGTTTGATTTTCTAACTAATTATAGCTAACATAATTTCAGTCGCAACTATTGTAAGTAGGAACACTATTATAACTACTTATTATTAATTGTATAAGTTATTACATTATTGTATACTACTAACCAATGCACAATTCTAATTATGTGAATTATAAAGAAAGTAGTAAATATATATTTATAAATGCTACTTTGAAGTTTTATTTAATATTTCTCGATTATACATTTTAACATTATTCAACATGTACATACAACACACTATGAATGAGAAAATATCGAAAAAATAAATTTAAATAATGAATTATGAAAATATTATAAATTAAGTTTCGTGAAATAATTTGGAAATAATTAAATTTTTATTTTGGTTTTTTTAAATAATATTCAACTATTTAAAGATGTATGTCAGAATTTCAAAGATAATATCTTTGTCATATAATATATAATTTTGCTAAAATGCTTATTAATGTATTTTGTTTCTGTAAAATTTTAAATCAATTTACTGTTTTCAAAAAAATTATAAAATATATATGCTTGTCATAATATATATACTCTTATGGTAAACAGTGTATACATTGATTATTCCTCTAATAAGAACAAAATAAAAAAACTAATGTAAACTGTAAAATTTTCAACAATCACAAAAATATAAAGGCTATACTTTTGGCGTTTATAAGCATTATCTGTCCTTAACAAAAAAATAAAAAGTATAAGAAGGAGCATTTGCTGAAAATTTAGAAGTGAGGCTGAAGGTTTGATGTCACGATTTGTGACATCATTATACATTTATAATATTTTGTTTTCCCAAATAAAATGATTTTTATTTTTTATATAATAAAATAAATAAGTTTACACAATTTTAATAAAATATTTGTTCTGTCAATACTCTTTATATTTAATTACAACCTATTAAACATTAATAATTTTTTTAGATTTTATATAAAATGCACATTGTAATTAAGATGAGCGATCAAATTTAGCGCGTAGGTGTACATACGTCACTTGTGACGTCATAGCTTGTTCGTTTGGCTTCATGATTTCGAGCCAATTGTCATTTGCCAATGCTCCTTTCTATTCATTGGTGAACAAGAAGGATAACATGATACACAGGAGCACTGATGGGCACCTCGAGTGATGTTTCCGAACGCAGCCTTAGATTATGCTTTAGGTTAAGTTAACGTGTGTGTATATTTATTTTTATATATAAAGAATGCTTTAACTTTTTGCTGTGTAGAAATATCATAATGGATCTAAAACAAAAAATTATACATAAGTTTAACGAGCACTTGGGATCGAATTTAAAAAATCTTGAAGGAATTTACGATTTTCAAGAGCATCTCAAAGCAGAGAAGGATGAGATTGAAAAATCAGTCAGTATTTACAAAGCAAAATAGCGTTATAACGTAATGAAACATTATGTACCAATCGTTTTTTACTTACAGTTATCAATGGCATCAACCACTGCTCCTTCCAAGGTAAAAGCAGTGGTTGAACATGTGGAACGTGTCAATTGTGAAGTTGAACAGTTGCAGGAAACCTGTTTGAACCTCAGCAAGATGATCGAGGAAACGTTTAGCGAAAATGACAAAAATTTAGAGCTGCAAGAAGTCATCGATAAGATAGGTCAGCTGGACAAGTCATTATCCTATCTACACTTCATAAGACATATAGAAAATATTAGGTAATAAATAGTTACCTAAGGATGTTGACAATGACATGTGTAACACATATAAGGTGTTTATGATTTACCTAATAAATAGTTGTAATTGTATTTTTACTCAGCGATGAAATAGAGGCATTCCTGTTATCTGGCGATGATCAGTCTATGATAACTCTTTATACAAGCTTGACAAACATCAGTTGCCAATTACAAATGTCTACATGTCATCATCTGGTCAATTTTGTTCATGAGACTTTACACTTTTGGCACAATCTAATCAAGGAAAAATTATCGAAGTATGTTTTTTCCTTTTTTTCCATACGTTTTTGAACATAATTTGTATATTGCATACTCTCTAAGCATATAATATTTACAGGGAGTACAATGATTTATTAAAGACCCTAAAATGGCCTTTCTGTGGAACCAATGCCGCTTCATTCAACACACCTTTGCCAGAGACAATGACAAGATTTAAGATACTCATTGAACATCTCTTTCATTTGCAACTACCGTATCCTTGTAATATATAATTTGTTTTAGATTTTGTTGAAAAGTAAATTAGCAGGATTGCTCATATTGTCCTTAATGTGTTCAGAGAAGAAACGATAAAACCTGTGGTAACATCTGTGCTGTTAACAGACTTTGCACCAGTTAGTTTACCAATCGCCTTCTTAGTACGTCCTCTTCGGCAGAGATTCATTTATCATTTCACAGGAGCTAAATTAACGAATCGTCAAGATAAGCCAGAATGGTTTTTTACACAGATATTAACATGGATTAAAGACCATGTTCAATGGGTGCATAAGAACATTCAACCTGTAGCGGATTCTGTAGGTTACGGATACTTAGATATAAAGGTTTGACTGAACAATTTATTGAATTCTGATATTGACCGTATCATATTTCTGGCTAACACTAATCATATTAACTAATTATATATTAATAGGCTGAATTTATGCGCGCTCTAGTTCAGTTAGCTGTTGAAAAACTTCATTCCGAATTGCCCATAGTGCAATACGATGACACTCTATTTGCGCATTTGGTAGACGAAGCTTTGGGATTTGAGAGAGAGCTACGGGAAACTCTATTGTATCCTCAAACTCAACCGGCTACTATTTTCGTTCTCACGCAAGCTTATATTTTTGTAAAATGGATAAACATGGAGAAAAAATGTAAGTACAGTGGAACCTCGATAACTCGAACCTCTACAACTCAAAGATCTCTATAAGACGCGCTCCGCGCGCTGCGGAAAACCTCTATAAATCGAAACAAAATCTACCTTAACACGAATTATATGTCGGGCATTTAGATATATATTTTACCTTTGTAACTCGAATTTAAAGTAGCCAGACTCTACAAGTTAAAGTTCACCTCTATAATTCAAAGTTGTAGCTATGTGTAACCATGAATAATAGCCTGGTATTTTGTTTATTTACTTTTATCGTATGCAACAAATAATTCACTGTTAAATATTGATTTTTTTTCCTTTAAAAGTCGTTATAATCGGAAAATTAAAAATAAACTCGTACAAAGCTTCCGTAAGTCGAATTTGCATATGTTAACCCTCTTTTACTCGAATTTCGATAAGTTGAAAACTATAACTCGAACAGTTTTTTCTGGTCCCTTGAGATTCGAGTTATCGAGATTCGACTATATAAAAAAATTTTCGTATTTCATACATGCCTTAAAAGTATATATAGGTATATATTTGTCCTGTTTAGACGCAACTGAAAAAATGGATGCAATATTAAGCTCGAGTACAGCGTGGGAAAGATTGACGAGTCCTGATGTAGATGACATGAAAGTTACTGAATGCGCTGACGCCTTCCTAACGCTCCTTACCACAATTTCTGATAGATATAAACATTTACCTCAGCCTGGACACAGGTAAGTCATATGAAATCATTCAAAGCGAGAGGTGTTAATATTGATTGTTTACGTTGAAGATTACAGTTTCTCGAGCTGCAATTGGAATTAATTGATGATTGGCGGGTACGGTTGTTACAACTGTTACATGAAAATTATGAAGATCCATTAACATCGCTTATGCCATATATTCTCAATACACTACATTATGTTGCGACCGTTTTGGAAGAATGGGGCGTGACTGTTGTATGTATATATTCATACATTTTGTGTGTATGTATTGTATATTTTCATTCTACAATCAAAAAAATGACATATCATAATCTTGTGTTTGTGCAGCACTTCTTGCAGCTGCATTTCTTCAAAAAGCAATTTGAAGCTGTGGAAAATGCTACTGACAAAGGCAACGACGTTAGCGAGAATATTGGAGAAATAGAGGGAACTGTATTTGACGAAGCTGTGGTTCTCTTACGACGATTAGAAAAGGAATTGATAAATGAAATAAGCGAGTCAGTGGCTTTAGATGTAAAAGCAAAAAGTAGAGCTTACAGAACGGATAAGTAAGAAATTTTCATCACTCTATTAGTTATTTTTTACATTTATTGTTATTGTATCTATATGAAGTACTTTTCATTATTCCAAGATGGTTTGCGATGCAGTCTTCAAAAGAAGTTGCTTCATTATCAGTGACCCCGAGTGGTTGTCCCATGTTCCAAGAACTAACTACGCGTCTTCACATATTGCATAATGTTCTTGCCTTGCCGTTATTTAATCAAGCTTTGAAGAATTTGGCTGCTCAATTTGATCAAGTACGCAAGATAAGAATAAAAGAAAATAGATTGCTCTTATAAAACAATTTCTATCTTTTCAAATATTTTTTCCACAGTTTCTCTTTGAAGAAGTTGTACTAGTAAATCATTTTAATAGCGGTGGTGCCGAACAATTACAATACGATATTCTGAGAAATCTATTTCCATTATTTGGTCTGTATATTAATAAACCAGAATCATACTTTCCATTGTAAGTCTCAAATTATTAAAACTATTCATTTATTCGTTAAAACAGATCAGATGTCATAATTCAACTATTTTGATGTTCCAGAATCAAGGAAGCGTGTATACTTTTAAATATCTTAATGGGTTCAGCAATATTGCTTGAAGAAGCGCTAAATAATAATGACAAAAATGCATCGGCAGAGATTTTAGCGGATGTCGGAGTGCACAAAATGTCTGCTAAACTTGCTCTAAAAGTAATAGCAATGAGAACAGACGTTATCCATGTATAGAAAATCTTTCACTTGAATATATCGTGTAAAAATAAAATTTATTATAATAGATTATTCGCGCTATTTGTTAAATTAAATATACTTTTTTATTCTTCCTCCAGTAATATATTTAATGATGTTTAGCATATGCTATGTAAACAGCGCTCTTAACACAGTAGTGTTATTCCACCATTGTCAGCGCCTAATAATAATAATCGATTAAGAGGAAGGACAGCCATGGCAGTAAGAATGCCTTTAAAAGCGTCGGATCTCAACTTGGATGAGCTTAATGAAGCAGTCATTTCTACAGCGGTGTAAACACCAATTCGATTTGCTGTTGTTCCTATCACTAATGCCTGTTCGTGCATTGCCATGCAGTGAACAGGTTCTGTTGCGCCTCTGAAAATTGAGGAAGAATAATTTGTGTAAATTATATTTTGTATACTTTAAATTTAAATAATAACATTACAAGTTTTCTTACTTCATATGAAATTTAAGTTTTCCATCTATTGCACTCCATACAGCTATAGTTTGGTCCAAAGAAGAACTAACTATAGTGGTTTCATTTATCGCTTCTAATTGCAATATCTGTAATGTTAAAAATCAATAATCAAACAAAATGATAATTCTTATATAAAGTTTGAAATTAACAGCCATTAAGGAGTATTTGAAAATCTAATAAAAAGGCTATTTTTGAGAATTTTGTTTTGAAAAATCTATGCCATGGATTTTCATAGACTTTTGTATGTTTATATATATATACAATATTGTGTATATAACTACAAAAATCACAAAATAGTACAAGGCTTTTCTTCAGTTTAATTCGCTATACTTGCTTATGAGTGATTACACTAAAATGTCAGATATCTTGTATATTGAGCTATCTTTAATAAAAATTTGATAGATATGTTCATTAATTTCAAAATTATTAGTATTCAAATAATTAAAGAGAGGTGAGCACACACCTTGAATTTTCTGAAGTTTCAAAAATTAATATTTTTTACTTTGTTAAAAATTTATTTTTATGCGAAAAATCAATTTTAAACTGACATTCATCACTGTTATTTTATTGAGATTATGCTCTTTCAACTATTTATAAATGAAATTTTGGAATTTGTTATATAATCATATTATGTTTTTTATGTCTCATTTAAACGTTAATAACTTTTATTAAATAAAAGAGGCCTTTTCGAAATTTAAGAAGACTATTTTCAGATTTTTGTTTAAAACCTATGTGATTTTCATAAGATTTTTATAGATATGCATCTATTAAATTATTTTCAGTAAAAATTGGGTACAGATATGTTCATTAATTTCAAAATTATTAACGTTTAAATGATCATAAAAACATAATGTGCATGATATTTTTGGTTGATCTAACAATAAGTTCTTACCTCGCATTCATGTCCCTTCCAAGATGCGATAATCAGACCAGTGCGAGTATCGAGTATCGTCAAAAACCCTGATGCTTGACCTAAAGCAACCCAGTTACCACTGGGCGACACTGCGATACATCTTATTAAACCAGTCGGATTCATGGAAATCTTATCGAATGATTTAATATTAAGCTTTATACAAATATTAGTAATATTTTTACAATATTGAATATTTATATACAATATTTTATGCTTACTTTCATTTCATTGACATATTGGAATGTTCTACAATCAATAACTCTGAGAGTAATGTCGGTTGTTCCCGCAAGAAGAGTTGTAGATGGGGAAGGGCTCGAAGCTAAAGTGTTCACAGGAACAGGGCGACTGCTTTCCGGACATCCCAGGAGCGAACCCATAAAAGGATCCCAACAATGAATCACGCCATCGCATGTTACTGCATATCTCAAAGATTCCAGGAATGTAAGCGAAAGAATCGATTTTTTATGCCCGGTATATGTATATTGACACGATGAAACTGTAGTTCCATCACCCTAGTTTCAGTAAAATTATAATTCTGGATATTATTATATTGCACGATGGACATTTTTTTCTTGAACAAAATATACATTACCTGGCTTCGTAAACTCCATAGCTTCACAGTTTTGTCTCTACCACCACTCATAAAACTATTCTCATTATCTAACACATAAAGACATCTTATACTGTTTGTATGTCCGTTGAAAGTCTGAAGTTTTATCTGCTTTATGTTAAATATTGTATCTTTCTCCGGTCTCCCTATTTCATGTTCCCAATAGGCTAGCCAATTACCACGTAATTGCCTACCAGCGGATGACGGACAAGTTGTTTCGCGACTGGCGATAACACTCGTCTCTGTCAACGATTGAGATCTCGTATCATCCTTTTGTATCTCAAATCTGTTTCCTATCACAGATATATTCCCGAAACTGCAAGCGCCTTTGTCAATTGAGTCTACATTTTCTGTCACATCACAATCCACGGAAGTATTATACTTATCCGCATTATCTTTAACATGAGACAAAAGGACATGATATGAATATATTAATTCAATATTATTTGTAACGATTATAACAATTGAGGAATACAAATTTCTCATTTCGTAAGATATCTACCATTATTTACAGTGGTCGCTTTTATGCCTTGCTCATAATCGTGACAAAGCTCTTGTATATGCTCGTGATTTTTAAGTATATGTTCCATCATTTCAGTGTCAATACATCTATAAAAAAGCATGTATGCTTTGTGAGCAAACTCAGTCGTGAACACAGTTCGTAGTTCTTCAAATGCCTGTAAATGAAGTTTAGTACACATATATATATATATATATATATATATATCTTTAATGATATATTAATGATGTATTTAATGATACTTTAATGATGTTTCAATGATATATTAATTCACAGGGAGACCGTTTTGGTGGTGCCTTAGATGGTGCAGCTCGTATGTTTTCTGAGGCATATGACACCGGTTTACATCCGCAGGAATTTGTAAATAATACACGTAAAAAGGGAGAACTGATCATGGGTATTGGCCATCGCGTAAAGTCTATCAACAATCCAGATATGCGTGTGAAACTTATCAAGGAATTCGTCTTGGAGAATTTTCCGGCAAAACCTTTAGTCGAATATGCTCTAGAAGTGGAAAAAATAACAACCAGCAAAAAGCCTAATTTAATTCTTAATGTGGATGGTATTATTGCTTGCTCTTTTGTCGATATGCTGCGAAACAGTGGCAGTTTTACAAGAGAAGAGGCGCAAGAATATATTGAAATAGGTGCCATAAATAGCTTATTTGTCCTTGGTCGAAGTATAGGATTTATTGGTATGGTTATACTTGTGAATTTATATGTATTATTCGCATTACGTAAATAAGTAAGTACAATTATTCACTAATGAATTCTTTTTCTTCTAGGTCATTACATGGATCAAAAAAGATTAAAGCAAGGTCTTTACCGCCATCCTTGGGATGATATTTCTTACGTACTACCTGAGCAATATAATTGAATCATTAAATAATGCATAATGATATAATATGTAATGCTTAATGTCTTATAATTAATCGCTTAGTTCAAAGATCGTCTTAAAAAATGAGATATAAAAAAAGCATTAATTATCAATCTCATTGGTATTGATCAAGTATATATTGAAATTGATATACGCACAATTGAAATGTAAATCACATTGCACTAAAAACAATATATTCTTATTTTTAAAAACAAATTTGTTAATTTTAAATTTGAACTATTATGACATTGATTAATGTCTTATAATTAGAAAAATACTAAAATGCACATTATGAAAAGATAAATGATGATATAATCACATATAACTATAGCTTTATAATTGAATGTAGATAAACAAATCTTTTAAAATGTCTATATACTAAACACATTCCATTAATGCATTTTCGTTTGAATTAGACATTAGACGGTGAAATTGGAATGTTTGATTTTCTAACTAATTATAGCTAACATAATTTCAGTCGCAACTATTGTAAGTAGGAACACTATTATAACTACTTATTATTAATTGTATAAGTTATTACATTATTGTATACTACTAACCAATGCACAATTCTAATTATGTGAATTATAAAGAAAGTAGTAAATATATATTTATAAATGCTACTTTGAAGTTTTATTTAATATTTCTCGATTATACATTTTAACATTATTCAACATGTACATACAACACACTATGAATGAGAAAATATCGA